CTATTTTTGTTTCTACCCTTGTGATGGGGACTTTGTAGGATAAACGTTGATATGTATAAGGGACACGGGGTAACCAATAATCTCTGAATTGATCTGTAATAATGTAGGGGCATTGATAAGGGGTTGACAGGTATTTAGTGGTGCCTATTTTTGTTTCTACCCTTGTGATGGGGACTTTGTAGGATAAACGTTGATATTTATAAGGGACACGGGGTAACCAATAATCTCTGAATTGATCTGTAATAATGTAGGGGCATTGATAAGGGGTTGACAGGCACGCTTTTGTCAATAGACTACTGGACGAAGCGGTGTCTTGCCCATCGTGCAAGACATTTGACCATACTTCACCACGCTGGTCAGTGCGTGTTGAGCGCGGATACGAGAGCATAGATGAGTACGGTACAACGATGGACCTTTGCTTGTACTGCCCAACACGTAGCACTGTGTTACGGATCATTTGGTCATATAAATAAAATATAACCAATATAGTAAGCCTTATAGATTACAGAAAATGCACGTCACATATATTATTCGTATAGGCTATAGTTGTTATATATTATATCTTACTTATTGTGTGTACACACAGATGCCATTCGCCACCACCAAGTGGGAATGACGGTGCTTGTGCCAGGCTAGGTGCACACGAATGCCACGTTTAAGAACGAGCTTCAGAAAAGTTACCTCAAAGTGCTGTCGAGACTTAAGTTTAAATTCGGTTACGGTAGATGCACTGCTGTTGTGAGGTAAAAACATTAGCATTTAAAGTGATTTGTCCAGCTGCATAAAACTCATGAAGGGAAACGTCCCTTTATATTTAGAAGTAAAAATGAGGAAACATTTGTTTAACGACCACCGTATTAAAATGCAGCAAGGTTTAAAGTACGTATTGTCTCCGATATCGTAAAGAATAGTTTTTAATATGCTCGATACTTACAACAGCCAATGTAATTGTATTTACAGCTTCATATACAAACACAGCTATGGGAAAAAATCTCGCCGTTTATAACTTACGACATACACAACAGAGTCACGGTATGCAAACACTAATAATAATAATAAAAATCACAAGATTACTTTATAAATATTTTGTTGTTTAAATAGTTTTCATGTAAAGGAACGCACGGGGTTAAACGCACGTCCGTTGCCTTGGCGACAGCTCTCGCGTTTCCCGCCAAACTGAGAAGGCGTGGCTCGCGCCGGTGACGTCACCGCCACTCAATCAATCGGCCAATCACAATCGTTCATTTAAGACTGCGGGAGAAATCCGATGAGCTATGAAGCTCTTTAAAAAAAAATATTCCAGTATGGGGGGGTGGAGGTCAGCAAGTTACGACAGCAAACAATACAAGAAGAGAAAAAAACGATAGGAGTACAAAAAAATATTAGAGAACATGGTAATTAAGTCTTTAAATCGATATAAATAAATACATGATTTATATAAGATCGATTTATTACGATTGACCAAGGCAGCAAAGATAAAGAACAATAAAACAGTCCCAGACCCACAGCAAGATAACAAACAGCCCTTCAATATTCTTGGTTCTTTCGGTAAAGTCACATAGAAGGGAAATAATAAAATAGTAATAAAATATTTGTATTATTTTATTTTAATTTTATTATTTCCATAATAAAAATATATTTTTATTATTTCCCTTCTACGTGACTTTACCGAAAGAACCAAGAATATGAATCCCTGCAGTCACGAAAGCTTTAAATCAAAATATAGCCCCTCAATTGTTGGAGGTTGCAGTGCTGACCAATCAAATTGCGAGAAATTGGCGGGAATCGTTCAAATTTACAATCTCGGGGGAAAAAAACCCAACATCAGCAGTCCATTCATAGATACCATTGCGAGGATGATTAAGGGGCCGTCCATAAATGACGTCACGTACCTATGGGGGGGGGGTCAGACATTTGTGACGATGTGTGACGTCACATCAAAATGCACAACTTTAAATACATATAGACAACACGTTTTACTTAATTAAATAGACTTTTTAATAAATGTTTTCTTCGACAACATCAGAGTGCAGCGCCACATTAAATAGGCACAACAATGACAATAGTTGAAAGCGATTTGAAGCATGTTTTATTTTTGGGGGGGGGGGGGGGGCAGAGCTTTGTGACGTCATATTTGAGGGGGGGTCTAACTTTGTGACGCCGTGTGACTAGGGGGGGGGGGGTCAAAAATCGTCTAAAATCGCGTGACGTCATTTATGGACGGCCCAGCCCCTAAGTTAGAAATCAAATGGGAAATTACCATACCTGTCTCACCCCTTATTATCAGTGCCCTACCTTATTACAGAACCAATTCAGACCTTAATGGTCACCCCGTGCCACTTATAAATATCAACGTTCATCCTGCAAAGTCACATCACAGGGAGAGAAACACAAACAAATAGACCAAAACATTTTTTTGACCGTATCGAAACGGCCGTATGCCGTATGGACCTGGAAACTCAATTTCCCTGTACAAGAATACGGGTAAACGGTATGGGCTGATATGTATGAACAACAGCGTTCTCCAGATTGTAAGATTGCTCAGGTTATAAAAGACGCACCCACGAAAACTGTGTGATCAGCATTAGCCGGTGGTCAGTGCGCGCTGGTGAGCATAAATGTGGAAGCGCACAAGTACGGTACAACGATGGGTTTTGCATTGCCTTCGACTGGGAACAGCTAAAACAAAGTTACTTAGAGGCCGCTCCCCTAGCTAACTTTTACATGCTAATTTCTCACATTAACATCATGCTAATCCCTCGCATTAACATAGCCACTTCTGTGCCCTAGTCGAGGAGGCCGCTCTTCTCCTATCTTACAGTTACATGCTAATTTCTCACATTAACATCATGCTAATCCCTCACATTAACATAGCCACTTCCGTGCCCTCGTCCAGGAGGCCGCTCTTCTCCTATCTTACAGTTACATGCTAATTTCTCACATTAACATCATGCAAATTTCTCACATTAACATCATGCAAATTTCTCACATTAACATCATGCTAATTTCTCACATTAACATCATGCTAATTTCTCACATTAACATCATGCTAATTTCTCACATTAACATCGTGCTAATTTCTCACATTAACATCATGCTAATCCCTCGCATTAACATCATGCTAATCCCTCGCATTAACATAGCCACTTCCGTGCCCTCGTCCAGGAGGCCGCTCTTCTCCTATCTTACAGTTACATGCTAATTTCTCACATTAACATCATGCTAATTTCTCACATTAACATCACTAGCCCCGGCCACTTCCTTATGACCCTTGGGCTACATCCATTGCAAACCTTTTAAAACAGTCCGTCTCAGCAGCATGCTTTCCCACCTGATGATGGACGCTATGGCTGCAGAGTTTGGTAGTACATGTTGTTTACGTCGTTTATTGTGAAAATTCGGTCACAGTTCCTATGACCTGCACTGTTTCATTGCTTTTATGGCTTTATTTTGGTGATTTTCGATACGTTTTTTGGTTTGGCCATGTTTGTTTGTTGTAGTACAGAGTTAGACTGATGGCCTTAATCTAAGTTGTCTTGTGGTTGTTGTTGTTTGACTTGCATCCCACTGGGATTTTGCACATGTTTGTGTACGGTGCTTTTTCTGCAATATTTTACTGTCTTTTCTTGGATTTTCTGTTTGCACTCAGTCACATATTCACTTTAAGATGTTTTTTGTTCATGTTTTTGTTTTTTGTTTGTTGCGGTTGCACCCGATTCAAGAGCCGAATGGCTCACAGGGCTACACCTAATACATGCACTTCAACTTGTGTTGCGCCCGAAACGTCGTGATTTATTTTATTTTATACTTACGTGACTTTACCGAAAGAACCAAAGAGTATGGATTCTTGCAGTCACGAAAGCTTCAAATCAAGATTACTTAGTTTCCTCTGTTTTTTTTGGGTCCAGCTTTACTGTTGTAAAACAGGAAACGTGACACATCTTTATGATCGCTTTATTTTACAAAAAAACATCGTTGCAAAATGCTCGTAAAGTAAGACACACCTAAAAACTTACAACCGGTGTCAGTAAAGTTTCACAATTGTGGTCACACACCCAAACCTACCAGATTATACCTCACCCCCCAACATCCCACAGGAATGTGTGTACTTATGCAATACGTCTTCACCTGAGGATGGCTGCTTGCGTTGTGGCCGAAACGTCGTGATAATGATTTTATTTATGTTTTATTTTTATTATTTTATTACTTCCCTTCTACGTGACTTTACCGAAAGAACCAAGAAGATGAATCCCTGCAGTCACGAAAGCTTTAAATCGAAATTTAACTACTTTTTCTCTATTTTGCACTCATATCGTTGTTTGTATTGTTTGTTGATGTAACGTTGCTGACCCCGTGACCCTACTGGACATATGTGAAAAAAGCTTCATAGCTCATCGGATTCCTCCCGTCTAAATGTGTTTAGTTTCTGTCCTTCACACGCACCTCTGATTAGCACGGTAGGCTATGTCCGGTGTAAAAGAAATTAAACATACATACATTCCGAATCTGAATCTTACAATGCAGACAATATTGGCTGTAGATTTAACTGTCACGCTCAAAATACGTTGCATCTGATTGTGCGCGAAATAATTATTCGATTTGTGCAAGTTGCGTGAGAATAATGTAACGCGATAAAATAAAACAATACAAAGACAATGAAAACGGAGTTTACAAAAGAGTAGCAGGTTCGACATGGCCTCTGGTCCAAGGATTTAAATGGAGTCCCCTGTCCAAATATCCCCAGGTTTTTGTAGTCCAGGGTCTGGGCCCCTTCTAGCCCAATAGGCCCTTGTGAAGTTGAATTCCCTGCACACTCTAATTTTCACGGTCGGCTTACGTATGTGGATAAATTCAACATACAATACATACATACACTCATTATGTCCACCACTTGGGCTGAATTGTTTCAACAGGTCTCTTTCGAGTAGTCTCGGATTTCAGGTTTTCCTTAACATCAGAGCATCTCACGTTCCGAAGATGAATTAAAAAAACGCGGAATCTTAATTTTACCATGATTTATTCAAAGTACATTACGCACACACAAAAGCGGTACATTTTAAAGGGAAATACCATATCCATACGGTACACTTGATATTTTACGCAACATACTCATAATAAACGATTGCTAATGTTAAATCAATGCGCTCGTAAAAATCTAAGTGAACCAGTGTGTTTATACATTTTCAAGGGTCATCAATTCCTGATGTGTATGTTTGTCAATCCGCTGCTAGTTGAAGGCTTCCACACACAGTGCATCATGGGAATTTGTTTTCACCAGACTTCACGTTGGTCGGTGTGGTTTGGAGGAGGAGGGACGGGCAGGCTCGGAATCGGTTCAGATATCACACACCACCGATGTTGCAGACATGGTTCCTTGTAAAAAAGGTTTCAGTTTTGTTGCCAGAAAAAAGGGGGGAAAACCCTATTGCTAACATAAATCATGTTAATTACATATGTTTACACTGTCAACTACACCTATTAAACACTACCACTTTAGGATGTGGCATAGAATAATTATGATACGACTAATCTTTTACAGCACTTTGTCAATCCAATGCTGGAAGGAAGACTTTTGTACGGTGTTTATCATGGGGGCTGTTTATAGTCATACTTCACCACACTGGCCATTACGGGTTGGTGGAGGCCGGGGCGAGGGCTGAGATATCACTCGTCACTGATGTTAACCATGACTTGGAATCGAACTCATGTTGCCGGGTTCACAGCACAGCGCGCGAACTACAGTGCCACTGCTCCCCCCCCCCCCCCATACATTGCCGCAAGAATGCTCCCGAGCAAAATGAGCAAACGTACATCAGAATTACCTCAGGGTTAATCTGCAAGGCTCATAATCAACGTTTTTGGGTTTAGATCGCGTTATTTATAAATGTGTCGTAACCCTCCACCACCCGACACGGCCAATCAGTAAAAAAGTGTCACGTGGACAAAAGACAAATAGTTCACTGCTTTAGCCCACCGGTGTGTTGAAGCGTGAAACCACAACATTTACAATTTGAGTACGACGTTTCGCTGGTAATTGCATCCAGCATCATCGGGCAATTCGCCGTGTCGGGTGGTGGAGGGTTACGACACATTTATAAATAACGCGATCTAAACCCAAAAACGTTGATTATGAATAATATTGGTCGCGAAAGCCTACGTGTTAAACTGATCTGCAAGGCTGTTGACCGCATTTCTAAAACTCTTCAAATCAGACGATAATGATTCCACAGCAGTCGAATTTCTCCAAAAGTTATTACACAGTTGATGATGACAAAAAATAACGCTGCCAACATCACAGCTGCGTGATTGAGTAAACAGCCAGACCTACCAGCTAGCTACATTATCACAGCAGAAGTGCCTAATTGAATTTCCATATCACGGCCAGAGTAATCAAGTCTATTATGTAAGTTAATAAGAAAAGCTATTCTGTATTAAAATTGGTTTCCTCTTGAATAAACTTTTTCATCAATCTTGATTGCTCTTCTTTCTTTCAGCAAACTTTAAGATGATGGGTTCTTTCGGCTCGAGTAGTCCTCTTATGCCAATTTCAGCCGGAATCTGCAAGAGGCGATAATGAAAAACAAAGCAGAACACACTCGCAACGAATTCACTTGGGCCCTGTAAAAGTAGGAGTGTGTGACTGTACGTCGAAATTGTCTGCGCGACTGAAAGAAAACGTGAACCATTTATTTTCGATCACAAGATGCGTATATGTATTTTATGAAGTTGTTTCAGATTGGGGTTGTTTTCGGATACCAGATTTGTTTAGATTTTTAAGGCCGATTTCAGACCTTATATCAGATTAAAATGACACTCATTGAAATAACTGGATACATTAATTGTTCCATTTAGAAATTGAACACAAGGCTTGCTCAGTAAAGCAATACTTTTAACGTCAACATTTTGTACATTTTAATAATTTTGACAACATTTTGAGCCATGTTTTGTCGAAATTATGTTGCGAGAGGGCAGTTTTTGGCATGAAATGCATCATGGAAGTAACACCACGAACGAGGACATCACTTCTTGTGTCGTCATAACTTCGGATCAATCCAAAACCAATTTTATTTTCAGATCGTCCTAAATTTTATCTGCAAACCCGATTTTCAGATTTTTTTTTTTCGTAAATCCAAATATCAGGAACTCGTCCCAAAATATCTATATAATCCTGTCAGCTGTATTCCAACACAGCAGCAAGTGAAATTGCATTAGGCCGTCCGTAGTTCATGAAAATTGAAAGTGTATTTTTTGCAGATTCTTTTCACGCCCATGAACGTGTGCTGCTGCCCACAAAGGTGGGGGCGGTGGCGGGAGCGGGGGGGGGGGGTGTTGAAATTTTAGGTTATATAACTGGCAAAGTTACATGTGGTCTACAACACTGTGGTAAGATTTAACTTGTTTAAAATCGAACTCTTTCTTACCTTTGTCTCTGGGCAAGTGACCAATGTGAAACGCCTCAGCAGGCTCACGATGGCGATCTTGACGTTGATGAGAGCAAAACGCATCCCAATGCAGTTTCGGGGCCCAGCGCCGAATGGCAAGTAGCAGTACTGATCCCTCTGCTCTCTGGCCTCCTTGCTGAATCTGTCCGAAATCGAGATCAACAACATGGCAGAGGCTCGGTCTCATTTGCAGCAGTTTGTTATGTAGGCTAGCCGTAGTCTCAAGCCACACCTTACCATAATAATAAAAAGTGGGCCGTTCCTGGCCCATCCCCCCCCCCTCAACCATTATATATACGGGGTAGTAGCTCTTGTAATCGCTCATTTACTTGATACAGCTGTCGTGCTGTGACGGTTCCACCTGAAGACGGAAGCTTGTGTTGCCTCCGAAACGTCGTGATTTTATTATTTTATTTTATTTTGCTTTTATTAATTAAAATTTTTTACCTACGTGACTTTGCCTGAAAAAACCTAAGAATATGAATCCTTGCAGTCACGAAAGCTTCAAATCTAGAACAAAATGGGACTTGTTTAAAGCTTCCACTGTAAATTCCAACGTAATGTCGTTTTTTTGTTCCTTCATCACAATGCTAAATTGCGCCTGTGGTCGACACGTACATTTACGGTTTGTAAAATCAAGAGAGATTTCAAAACGGCATTGAGGGGGGAAAAAAATTATGAAGACCTTAGTGGTATAGGTGAGTTCCCGATAAACCTCGCCACGAAATACGTTGTTTTGCACTCGCAGAAGAAAAACAAATTGGCCCACTCACTTTGCTGCAACGCTTCCTGCTTGGGGGGGCCGGTGTTTCACAACATCCGTGCGGAGTTTCACAACATCCATGCATGACCCTCAAAACCTCGCCGCTGCTGCTGCCTCCACAGCACCGGATTACAGGTTAGCCACGTGCAGGAGCGCAGCCAACATCGCCGCCCGGCTAAACCAACAAAAACTAAGCAGTCAGACCGGCGGTGAGTTATTACCGTTCAGGCCGGAACGCCGTGGGGTCATCCCAGTGCTCCGGGTGACGGTGAATCACAAACACGGGAATGCCGATGACCGTGCCCTTGGGAACAGGGATGCCTCCCAGCTCCACGTCCATCTTTGCTATACGTTCCAGCCTCCCGGCTGGCGGGTACAGACGCAGAGACTCACTAACCACCATGTCCAGGTAAGGCAGCTGGGACACCTTCTCATAGGTGACCTCCTCCTGTAAAGTCACAAACAAAGTCAAACAACCCTCCCCTCAATCCCCTGTATAGCTTAAACAGACTGTTGGGGCAAGCGCTGTTAGCGAGTGGCACCTATGAAGGCCTGCACGGCACACGGAGGGGTGCATGACCAGCACCACGCCCGACCGCCTCTGTCTCCCCAGTGGCGATGTTTAACGCACCGCACCAGGTGCTCATTTGAGGCTGAGTCGACATATGAGAGGCCCAGGAATCGGTTCACATAATCGTGACCAGTGTTGGCCATAGGCAGGAATCGAACTCACTACCACTCCCCAAACATGTGCAACTTGCCTTCCACTGGTTAAGAGAAAAATCGGTACTACATGAGGTAGCAAAATTCAGTAGCAATAAGGAGATGATGATGTATGTTGAATTTCTTTCACACCATACATAGCCAACCGTGCTAATCGGAGGTGCGGGGGAAGGACAACAAACTAAACACAAAAAGCAGTACTAAAGAAAAGAGTTTTCAATCTATATTTAAAAGTGCATAACTCCAGTGGCTTCCTGATATCGGAAGAAAAGAGCGTTCCAGACGGCCGCAGAAGTGCATCTGAAAGCGTGTGATGCGGTGACTGGAGTTTGCGTGATGGTTTATGCTTCTTAACAAAGTCAGCGAGGTATTGTGGTTCAATTGTAGCAAGCACTTTGTGTCTAACGAGCGCGACCTTAGAACGTATTCACAAACACGGTGTCGGATCGTGCAGTGCCCGTCACGACACGCGCCGGATGAATGTTGTACACAACGCCGCAGCTGGGCAATGTTGTTTTGATGACCGACCTCTGGCGGCAACGTGGCATCGATCTCCTCGAGGAGCCTGTCCTGCACGTCCGCGTGCACGGCCAGGTTGTAGGCGATGTAGGTGAGTGTCACGGCCGTCGTCTCGTAGCCCGCCAGGAGGAACACCATCGCCTGGGACAAGATCTCGCTGTCCGTCAGCGCTGCAATCCGCCAAGGCACGATGGACGCACGCACGGATGGAGACGTCGGGTCACGTGGCTTAACCGTAAATTCGTACAGCCGCTCGTAAGGCCGATCGTATCGCACGCCGCCGCTGCAGATCCACGCGCGCTGTTAATGCTGTCCGGTAACTTGCATGCGCACAGTGACTTTGTACAGGCGTACACATATCCGACTATGACCACATATCCGCCAGTTCCCAGCGAGTCGGAATTATGCGACGCTGCATGGCACATTTCAATGAAAGCAAAAAAATATTTACATATTTTTTTAATGTTTGCTTGATGTTTTGCTTTCAAATTGGACATGGCTATTTTACCTTTGTACGGGATGATGCCACCGTGCTCGTCCATCAGCGAATCAGAAATCTGAGCATCGACCATGGTCTGTAGGAAGTCCACCCTGTCCTGTGGGGCGGAATCACAGAATCACAGCCAACGATGGGTGTCCACACGTGCACAACATGCGCGGGGCAGATCTCCCGCTCCGTGGCTTCCACATATCAAAATTGTAATATTCGTCGTGATATCACATCATACTACTGGTCCCCCCGCCTCGCTGACTGGGCCCTCAAAATTACGGGCACGATGCTGCTCCCCGTTCGTGCAGTTACATCCACCCTCGATATCGCTTAATGCCACACGCGGGGCAATTTACGTATATCGTGCAACTGCAGCCGGGGCTCCCCTTTGCAGCTGTATCTTTAAGATTTAAACGTCGGCGCACAGCGTAGCAACGGGAACGCGTGCGCGCGCGACGATTATTTGAATTCCGACCTCCTTATTAACGTTTGCAAACTGCACCGTGGAGATTTAAAACAAAAAACATTCGAAATGCGCGACGCGTTCCGTTGCGCTACGCCCGCGGCGCTTAATTAATATTACAGAAGAGAGTTTTGCCGCGCCGCGTACAAATGAAACGTGAACGGCCGTTTGTCTTCGTTGACGCGGTGCGGTTTTTTTCAGTGCACAATTGTCATTAGTCTCTCGTGTTGAATGAGTCGTGCCGAGCTACGAAAGGACAATTCACGTGGACAAATGTACGGCTGTGCATTTAAAGCGTGCTTAAACGTTTCACCGCGAACTCAATGCATCATTACATCACATCTCAATCATTCCTCCAATGTCCTGCTGTTTGTTAAGCCTAGGGGACCCCCATGTGGCAGCTGTCGTTGTGCAGCACAAGTTGAACTCAGCACTACTAAGTGGGCATTATGTATGTATGTTGAACTTTTTTCGGACCGTAAGTAGCGCAACCCAACGTTGACCCAACGTTGACCCAACGTTCCATTATTTTCTCTTCACTGGGCTGACCCATGACGTACCGTGTGGTCGCCCTTGCGACGTTCATTCTTCAGGCGTTGCAGGTTGGACATGAAGAAGGATAAGACGTCATTGGGAAACATGCTGACGTTCATCCGGACCAGCAGCGGGGTGACGGCCGGGAAGAATACTGCGCCGCGAGGGGATAAACGCAACGTGAGAAAGAGCATCGCACCGATGCACGCGTATGCACAGTTGTACCTCCTGGCTTTCGATACAGCTACTGGGGCGCCACGGTGGCGAGATGTTAACTTCCTCGCCTGGTATGCAGGAATAGTCGTGGGTTCGATCCCGACTCTGATGCTTGTATATTTGGAGATCACGTGGATTTTTCTTCGGGTCCTCCATTTTGTTTCTCCGCATTTAGAATCGACGTTGCGTTTTGGCTGCTAGAAATGTGCACGCGATGACAAGCCACTTCATTGAGCCATCATTTGCGGTGGCCAGGTCGCTTCTGAAAAAGAGCCATGCAGCTCAGTGTGCCTTACCTGGTAAAATAAAGAAATAGTTTGAGTACTATTATCAAACGTGACGGCCGATACCCAAAGCACAGACAACGTGAATGAAGAGGTAAACGTGCAGCCCTGAAAGTGCTCGCTCACACCATTTCTGGTAGAAGTACCTCCACTAAAAGGCTAGTTTGGACTACTCTTCCACTCTGGCCAGTCGTCTTGTAAGAAGCGTAAGTAGCCAACTTCCTTGCCCCGACACATGCGACCTGCCGATCATGGACGACCTGTGGTGTTACCCATTTATAGCTGCCGGGTGGACGGAGGCGGGCGGAGGGATTGAGAATCTTGACCCCCTTGTTTCAACGGCCGCGCCCGTACTGCGTATTAGAATCGGCGGCCTCTGCATTGTCCAGCGTGCTGACCACTACGCCACCCACAGCGGCACGCCGATTCCACGTGCATCGGAAAGTCGAGGAGACCCGAAGCATGTACGCAACATACGTTGAACTTCTTTCGCACCATACGTAGCTATCGCGCCAATGGGAAGTGCAGGGAAACGACAAACTAAACGCAAAAAAATTAACCGGTAAAAACAAAGTTTTTCACTTTAAATCCTTAATATGAGTGGCGGCTAGAGTCCTCTTGTCCTCTGGCTTGAGATGGCTGCCATCTATGGGTCAGATGATTGCCTGCCACCATTAAGCAATTGGTAATTAAATATAATAAATTTTTTCCTAAAAAGTGTAACATTTTGGAAAAAAAAATTCACGACAATAAATTGTCACGCACAACGAGTCTGTGTGCAAAATGTCAGCTCGATTGGATCACGGGAAGTGGGTTAAAAAACGACCGTAAAATTTGCACGGTCGTAAGCGCGCAAGCAAGCAAGCAAGTGAACTTAATATAAAGGATTTAAAAAGCCGTACGCATTTAACGTAATTGGCTATCCCGTCGGCATTTTACATCTGATAACTTTGCACGAAAGTGCTGTTATTCCCAATGAGATTTTTCTATTTTATTTCTTTAACTACCAACCTACCATTACCATTATTATTTCATTTTAAATCCCGTGACATCCACAATGGCTCAGAAGCTAATGAGACCCACAGGGCTGAGCCAGGCTACTTGGTGAAAATAGTCAACTAACCATTGGCCCAACAGCTGTTATGGTTTATTCGGCGTACCGAAAATTAATTCATTCTGCTCCAAAGGCCATAATTTTAAGTCGCTGATGTACGATCAAATTAGCCGATTGCTACAGTGGCTTTTAACGGGCGGTACAATTGTGCCAAACTTTTCTCCACTGTTTGGTGAGAACCCATTTCAAATCGGTAGCTGTAAACAAAACAAAAAATATAAATAGCACATTTTCTTTTATGACACAGTGCTCTCCGACAACGCATGAATGAGTTTGCATCGGATTCATTGCTTATACGGAGTGCTCTTGCTAATAACATCTGTTGTCCCAGCAGCATTTGTTAAACGAGGCGGACTTTGCTGATGAGACTCATCAGAAGCCTTGGAAACCGGACCAGACTTTTCTTGCTTTAACAAATGCTGCTTGATAATACTGGTCGACAGACCCAACGGGCCGATGGGACTAAATACATTCTAGATTTGAAGCTTTCGTGACTACAAGGATTCATACTCTTAGGTTTTTCGGTAAAGTCACGTAGGTAAAAAAATAAAATAAATAGAAATAATAATAGAAATAAAATAATAAATCACGACGTTTCGGAGGCAACACAAGTCTCCGTCATCAGGTGGGACCGTCAGAGCTAGATTTACTGTCTTATTATTATTATTATTTATTTTTTACCTACGTGACTTTACCGAAAAACCTAAGAGTATGGACTAAATACATATTTGAATTCTTGAGATGGAAATACGTTCTGGTAAAAAAAAATAAAAAAAAGATCCCATTCTCCTCCCTCTCATGCTCACCCTTCAGTGGTGGTGCTGGCCACAAGGAATACTAATATTTTGACAAGATCCCAGCGAGATGGCAGGAGTGACAAAGACAAGCGGCGGAGAAGTTTGGTCGGATTAATGTAGACATAAGGTGGAGCTGTAGAGAGTTGAGCAAAGGGAGATGCAGGCGGACAGGACAAGAGATTAGAGGATGTTATTCAGCTCGTTACGTTTGTACGGACTTGAATTTTTAGCGGATGTTTGATGCACCCTTATTTTCCATGAATCCCCTTGAGCTGACCGAGGCTCTACGCCTTTGCTTGTTTTGCTGATATCGAGCGCCACCACCACCACCCACCTAACAACGAGGTGGGACGTAAATATAGGCCGACCTGTGGGAGAAGCCTCGGGCCTGCCATGAGAATGTGGAATTTATTTCCGATGACTCGGGGGCCAATGGAAGAAATGAACACTGCACGATGCTCATCTAAGCATGAGCATGGGGACACTTAAAAGACGTCGGCCTTTTTTTTTTACTTGAGCCAATGACAGTGTAGCGTACCGCAGCCTTTCTTTTTTTATGTTTGCCCCTGGCTACCATTGCGCTTTATGACATTGCCGGTGCACTCATCTTGGATGATGCAATATTCGTTCAACGTTTTCTTGTTGCTGCAGCATTACTTCAGGGCCCTATGTAGAAAATCTGGAATTTTTTTTTAACACCGCCAACACCCCCCCCCCCACCACCACTACTTGGGAAATTTCCAGATCCGCTTCTGACGCAACATGACTCTTTCACCGAGAGCCCAACGCCTGAATTTTGCCTCACCTCGGCTGCTTGTGAGCGGGTCATGCTAACAAATGACCCCCCCCCCCTCGCCAACAACAAAGACAAATTTACAGCCACAGCGCCGCAAGCCCAGGCACGGGGAGGCACGATGCAAACAGATGGCGCCGGAAGTATTTTATCGCGTGGAACTTGGAACGTGGGCCGTATTTTGATAAGAGAGCCGTGCGGCGAGCGCACGGCAGCGAGGGTGTCTGCCTCCCCACTCGGCACTGTCTCTCTCAAGCCCTTCCGGGGATGGAGAGACGCAGGCGCCCGGCTGGGATACCGTGGGGGAAATTTTGAAAGGTGGTCGGCACACGGGGGTCCGGCGGTGGTGGGTGGGTGGGTGGGTCCAGGGGGTGAACGTCGGAGCCACGTGTGTGGCCAGCCACCCGGTAACGACGTCTTTTTCAGGCAGCACTTTCGCTCGAGGTAGGAGCTTCCTGCTAACAACCTGACCGATGGCGGATGTAAATCTCCAGCGAAACGTGGGCACCCATTTGAAGCTTTGCGAGATCGTTCTCCAATCATGCCGGCGATGCTGCTGCTGCTGCTTGAGCGGCAATAAATTAGGCACGTTTATTGCTGCTACTCCCTGCCCTTTGCCCTCCAGCTACGAACAACCTCTATAACTACTATCACTATCACTACCACGACTCCATCTCCTATAACGATCCCTATCACTATCCCAACCTCTATAGCCACTGTCAATATCACTACCCCTATCACTATCACTATCCCAACCCCTATCACTATCACTACCCCAACCACTATCACTACGTCAACTCCTATCACTGCCCCTACCCCTATGTAGCAACTTTCTACGAGAATCTTTATTTTTCAGTATCAGAATATGTAGACTGTAGGAGGAATCCAATGAGCTATGAAGCTCTTTTTCACAGATGTCCAGTCGGTTGCGGGTGAGAACGTTACAACATCAACAATACAAAGACACGACAGTCGTGCAAAGTACAAGAAAGGTAAACAAATCACCCAAATTTCGAGGTAAAGCTTTCGTGACTGCAGGTATTCATCTTCTTGGTTCTTTCGGTAAAGTTACGTAGAAGGGAAATAATAAAAATAAAAAAATATAACATAATAAAATACAATTCTCACGACGTTTCAGCCACAACGCAAGCAGCCGTCCTCAGGTGAAGAACAGGGCTGTCTTTCCAACGCTGTCTTTCCGACAGCCCTGTTCTTCACCTGAGGACGGCTGCTTGCGTTGTGACTTTACCGAAAGAACCAAGAAGATAAATCACCCAAACACAAACAAATACAACTAAACCATCCCCATCCTACCAGGCAAAGCCCATCGAGGTATTAACTTATTTTTTACAAGCGACCTGGTCACAAATGACAGCTCAACAAAGTGGCCCATCACGTGGACATTCATAGCACCAAAATAATCTAAATAATCTAACACAGCTTCAAACGTTATTGGAACATTAGGAAATCGTTGACACAACCCAAGTACAGATAGTCCCCGAGTTACGACGGTCCGACTTACGATATTTCGATCTTACGATGGCGATAGCGATACGACAAAATTGTAAAATAATTTAAATTTCGCGCGGCAGGCAAAAGCCGCAGCGTACGAGGTACGATGCTGTACGTTGGGACGCTGGCGGGATGCAACTCCCACCTTTCTATTAAATTGCAGTTCATATGGGTAGGCTAAGAATTTACTTTGTTCTTTTTACTTTACATCTTACTGTGCAATACAGTATTGTAATTAATAAATACACACAGTATATAGTTTATACAGTACGCTACTGCAAATTGTTCTGTTTTGCTAAATTATCACCATTCTTTAAGACTCCTGGGTAGGCTAGGCCATCTTGGACTGATATTTTTGACTTACGATTGGGTCGTCGTAACGATCTCCATCGTAAGTAGTGGACTACCTGTACATTGTTTCTGTGTAAAGTGAAAGTCCAGAATCCCCTTGTCCGAACCAAGGATATCGAACAGGATGAGAGGTTCAGGCCATGGACTCCAATGTACTGGTGTGTACAATATCAATGAGCAGGCATTACATAAGCTACCTTTTTGTGTACTTGAATGATTGTTACCATAAAAAGCATAGATTTGGCCGAAGTTTCAATATTATTTGTCATATATGGTGGCGCATGTATGTGTGTGTGTACCGGAGATCATCAATTATATAAACTATCTGTCGGCTTCAGGGAGGAGGAGGCTCCGGATTTTCAAAAACGCCGGATAATCACATCATCGTCATTTAAAATAGCTTCTTTTTGCACGTTATTCCGTGAAATTAAGTTTTCAGGTGTTGTGTTTTCAATTCGTTTACTATCTGCAATTGGCATGAATAAATATACAAATAGACAAAAAATAAATATCCTACTTTTAAAAGTTACGGTATTTACTGTACCGTATTTACCACTCTAATCTTGAAGACTGCATCACGGGGTGATGTATATACGTGCCGTATTTTCACCGTTTAATTTTTATGTAGTGTATAATATACTGTATGTAATATTTAACCCTGATAATCGAGCATAGCTACTCTGTTTTGTCACGCACACAGTGCCGATCGCCGGACCGGTTACAGCATTTGGCGCGGTTTTGGAAGCCGGATAATCGCACGCCGGATAATCAATGACCAACGGTACGTTGAACTTCTTTCGCACCGCACGTAGCCAACCGCGCCTCTAACCGGAGGTGCGATTTCACCCAGAGGACGCCGGTTAAAAGAAAGCCCCGCAGCTTTCGGACCGCCAACGAGACGCTGGCCGCTCCCCAGAGGTCGCAACCGGGTACCCGATACCCGTACCCTACCCGATACCCGGCTACCCGTACCCGGCCGGGTACGGGTACGGGTACCCGTTTGCGACCCTGGTGCGGCCGGGTACGGGTAGGCCGTGAGTCACTGGTGAGTCGCCGTTTGTCACTCATTTCGGGTAGGGTACGGGTACGGGTAGGCCGTGAGTCACTGGTGAGTCACCGTTTGTCACTCATTTCGGGTAGGGTAGGGTACGGGTAGGCCGTGAGTCACTGGTGAGTCACCGTTTGTCACTCATTTCGGGTAGGGTACGGGTACGGGTAGGCCGTGAGTCACTGGTGAGTCACCGTTTGTCACTCATTTCGGGTAGGGTAGGGTACGGGTAGGGAACGGGTACCCGTACCCGGCCGGGTACGGGTACCCATTTGCGACCGTGATGCGGCCGGGTACGGGTACGGGTAAGGAATCAAAACCCGTTTGCGACCTCTGCCGCTCCCTTACCGACGAGCAGCAGCAGGGGGTTGAACATCCCCAGCTTCGTCAGCTTGTTGATGTAGGCGACGAAGGGGTCATGCTCGTTGCTCAGCGAGTTCACGTCGGCGCTGAACGCGGTGCTCGTGATCACGTCCATGCTGTACGCCCCCAGCAGCCTGCGGGGTGGGGGGGGGGGGGTGGTGAAAAACAAAAGACAAAGATACCAGATTTGAAGCTTTCGTGACTGCAAGGATTCATATTCTTAGGTTTTTTCGGTAAAGTCACGTAGGTAAAACATTAAAATTAATAAAAGTAAAATAAAGCCTCACCTTACCATGTTAATAAAAAGTGTGCCGTACTTGGCCCTTCCCCCTCTCCAACCATTATATATATGGCGTGGTAGCTCTTGCAATCTCTCATTTATTTGATACAGCTGTCGTGGCTGTGACGGTTCCACCCGAAGACGGAAGCTTGTGTTGCCTTCGAAACGTCGTGATTTTTATTTTATTTTACTTTTATTAATTTTAATGTTTTACCTACGTGACTTTACCGAAAAAAACCTAAGAATATAGACAAAGATACTACCCGCCCCCAGTGAGCCTTACGTGGTAAAATAAAAAAGGCGAATAGTTTACTTTAGAGTAGCGCGGTGAAGGATAATAATAAATAATAAGTACGGGCAAATATCCCCCATGAGCCATATGGATGGTGGGGGTGGGGGGGTGATGGGGACCCCTCATCCAGCAGTGGATTGACAGAAGAGCTGTGTGTAGGAATTCCCTAAATAGAGTTTCGATATTGTGATCTGGCTGGGGAGGTGATCAAATGCACTATAAATAAACAATTGTTTTTTTTTATTTTACCAAGCAAGGCCGACTGAGCTATATAGCTCTTATTCAGACGTGAAGCGGCCACAAATGATGGCTCAACAAGGTGGCTTATCACGTGGAAATGTAAAGCAACCAAATACTCTAAACGTATGTTTATAACGTGGAGGGAAAAACCGTGACCACGAGGAGACAGACAACGCAAACTCCAAATATACAGCAGGCACCATGGTCGGGATCGAAGCCACGACCTCCTGAATACCAGCTAAGTTCAACCCCCGACCGGGCCAGAATCTCAACCCCCGCAAGGTCCATCTCGCGAGGGCTACATGGTGGGGCGTCAACAGTGGTTGTGGATTCTAGATTTGAAGCTTTCGTGACTGCAAGGATTCATACTCTTAGGTTTTTTCGGTAAAGTCACGTAGGTAAAAAATAAATAATAAAATAATAATAAAATCATAGGAGAAATAATAGAAATAAAATAATAAATCACGACGTTTCGGAGGCAACACAAGCTTCCGTCTTCAGGTGGAACCGTCACAGCACGATTGCTGTATCAAATAAAGAGAAATCCCAAGAGACCCGAGCTTTCGATTTAAAGCTTTCATGACTGCAGGGATTCATCTTCTTGGTTCTTTCGGTAAAGTCACGTAGAAGGGAAGTAATAAAATAATAAAAATAAAAGATAATAAAATAATTCTCACGACGTTTCGGCCACAGCGCAAGCAGCCGTCTTCAGGTGAAAACCAGACTCTAAGACCTGGTTTTCACCTGAAGACGGCTGCTTGCGTTGTGGCCGAAACGTCGTGAGAATTATTTTATTATCTTTTATTTTTATTATTTTATTACTTCCCTTCTACGTGACTTTACCGAAAGAACCAAGAAGATAAGACCCGACCTTGTGTATATACTGGTTGAGGGTGGGAGGAGCCAGGATGGCTGTGGATGGTTGTGGACTATGGAAAGACAGGCCTCCACCATAGCATTGTGGAATTGACACCGCCGCCTAAGGACGTAAGTGCTGCACAACGCTCGTTTGAGCACTTTTACTTGACTTGAAAAATTAAAATCATCATTTCAATATCGATTTGCATGCGCCGCGCTGAACACTGAACGCCAATTTACGTAAACGATCGGCACAGGACTGGGAGAAGAAAAAGAAAACCAGGCTATCAAAATATTGGCAAACAATATTTACATGTCTTCGCGAGCATTTACACTGTGAGATCTCTTTTACCAGTGGCAAAATAAAAAGCCGTCTCGGGTGTAGACCAATCAACTTCAAGGACAGTGCATATTATTATCATTATCAGAGTTGCTTCTTTTTGTTTGCTTTTTTGACTACTTGTGTTGTGGTTATTGCAAACATGATGCCTTGAATAAAGGTGTCAGTTTTGTACCAGTTTAAAAGGGTAAAAACCTACTACTATGTCTTCGTGAGGTTCACTGGTGACATGTCAGCAATGCATGCTAATGCATCAATTTTACAATCTTTTATTTAAACAACTTTATCTCGCCCACGGCATCACAGGCACATGGCAAAGTGCCCGTAACCAGGTTGCTTTCTGAAATTTAAATTAAGCGCTTGGCAAGGAGAGGCTCTGTAACGGCTAAGGTGCAGTCCTGCAATTGCTTACTCATGGCACTGCAGGCTGAGTAAGCATCCACGAAGTGCGTGCCCACAGAGGGCATTTGGTCCACTCCACGGAAATAAACTATTAAACAATTTGTTATTCTACCAGGTGAGGCCCACTGAGCTGTACAATTATTTTTTAGAAGCAACCTCTCACAAATTATAGCCCAGTGAAGTGGCTCATCGTGTGGTCATTTATTGCAGCCAAATACTCTAAATGTAGGTATAAAATAAAATAAATCACGACGTTTCGGGTGCCCGAAACGTCGTGATTTATTTTATTTTCTACCCACGTGACTTTACAGAAAGAACCAAAGAGTATGGATTCCTGCAGTCACGAAAGCTTCAAATCACTCTAAATGCATGTTTATGAATGAGGGAAAAACCGGAAGACCTGGAGAAAAATTCACGTGACCACGGGAGAGAACATGCAAACTCCAAACACACAGGCATCAGGGTCGAACCCACAACCTCCTGCATACCAGGCGAGGTAGTTAACATCTTGCCACCGTCACACACCTACCACGTTGACCAGACGTGTGGAGATAGTTGGGCATACCCACACTTTACCCCACTACACGCGGCTTGCCCGATTGGCTGCGGTGAACACTGCCGGGTGAGGGGAAAGGGATTTGAGAAATGTGCGCCATCGTTTCAACCGCCGAGCCGGGAGAAAGAAAATCGAATCGGCAAACTCCGGATTGTGAGCCCAGTGCACTAAACCATTTCACCACCGCTGTGGCAGCCTCACTAAGAGGCCCGGGGAGCTTGAACGCCTCGATTCACTCACTTCTTTGCATCGAAGCTTTGGTCGGCGTTACACTTCAACTCTGCCTGCTGCACGAGCAGGTCGCCATAGTGCTTGACGATGGGGAACACCTGAAGCAAGACCGAAAAAGACCGAAAAAATTGGTGGCAGCAGCACGTCAGGGGGACGATTCTTCCGCCGATGAAGACGCAGAGAGAGAGAGAGAGACACGTATAAAGAGAAAATAATACATTAAATACTAGCATAGTAAATTAAATACTAATATGCTAGTATTTATGCTAGTATTTAATTTATTATTTTCTCTTTATACGTGACTTTACTGAAAGAACCAAAGAGTAATTCCTACAGTCACGAAAGCTCCAAATTAAGTATATAGAGAGAGACGTCTACCTGCACAGCGGTCTAGAAGGCGTATAGCTTGTTGGACAATAATGTTCACAAGCATATGTATATGTACGTACAGGGACTCCTCTACTTATGAACGAGTTAGGTTTCAGAGATCTGTTCGTAAGTCGATGTGTTCGTAAGTCCAACTTACTATCGATTACAAACATGTTCTACGGCGTGTACACTAAACACAGGGAATGGCTTTAAAAGTTGTATGACCTCCTGTAGATGCAGATGCCGCTGGTTCTTCGTGTTCTGCAAATGCAGATGTCACCACCACCATTGCGCGGCGGTTGAACTTACAACTCTCGATCCGAACAGGCAACTGGACATACGGACAGATTTGTTCGTATCTCTGAAAGTTCGTACGTGGAATGTTCGTAAGTAGAAGAGTCCCTGTATGCTGAACTTCTTTCGCACCGTGCACAGCCGGCCGTGCTGATCCGAGTCGCGGGGTAAGGACAACAAACTGTGCACGACGGATTGAAAAAGAGAGCGCATGCCTCAGGCGAGACAGACCTTAGACCCTTGTCTCTGCGTAACGAGCGATTTGTTACAAACACTCCACCACGTTAGCGCACAACGGGCGTCCTGCGAGTTGACAGGACCACACAGGAAAGTGAACACGTTCTATAGGTAGCAGTAATTGTTTGGGGTTTCAAAATAAAAATGTACTTATACCACCACACAATATTACACGTATGTGTGCGATGACGGGGCTTGTTTTGACTATACTTCATAATGATAATCAGTGAAAGTTGGAGAAGGGGGTGGGGGAGAGGGGAGGTGACCCAGGCCTGGTTCAAAAAGTTGACCCTGGTGTGAGGCACGGCGAGGCCTTCATCCAGCAGTGGATAAAGGGCTGTGTATAAAAATCACTGCGAGTCAGTCTGTTCTCCGACGCTACGCCATGGTGTATTCTCAGCAAACGCAAAAGGTATACATGGGGGTTGCGAGTGCTACGAGATCAAATTTTTTTACATTTTTAAGCGAGCAAACATTAATTGATTGATTAAAATGTGTCACCGCAGAGAGTGCCCTTGAGATGGAACGCCTCGTTTGCAAGCGCGCCCCACAGTGTCAAATGAGACACGTGCGGCAAATGCGCGGCGACACACACCGTGTACACAGACGTTTCAAAACTGTCAACTTGTGCGGTAAATGTATTTGACATGATACAAATTATCCGGTGATTCTGCTGCTGCTGCTGCTGCCGCTGCGTTCAAGGCGGTCGTGCACACAAGCACAGTTAACAACGACAACTTAGCACGTTAGTCAATAACAACACCGTGGCCTTAAAAGGAAACGTATATAAAGTGGCACATTTTTTTACGGGCTATGAAGTAGGCCCATTGCCTGAAACGTCACCTGAAAGAAACACCGCCTGTGAAATATACGTTTTTTTTTTACCTTTTAAAGCTGTGAGTTACACAAATCATAATACTCTTAGTTCTTTCGGTAAAGTCACGTAGGTAAAAATGAAATTAAAATTAATAAGAAATAAAATAATACAATTTTACTTAATATTTTTTTATTTTTTATTAATTTGAAATAAAAATTTATAAAAAATAAAATAATACAGTTTTATTCTTTATTATTTTATTTTTTATAAATTTTAATTTCATTTTTTACCTACGTGACTTTACCGAAAAAACTAAGAGTATGAATCCTTGCAGTCACGAAAGCTTCAAATCTAAAACAAATCATAATCTTTGTTTATGCTGGAGAAATCCGATGAGCTATGAAGCTCTTTTTCGGAAGATGTCCAGTCGGTGGCAGGTTTCCAAATGAGTGGCACTCACCACCGGTTCGTATGGAATCTTCTATCGGCCTCTAAGAGTTGCAACAGCATGTCGCAACGCTGCGCACCCGTTGCATCAGTACTACATCTCACACCGCCAAGTGTACCTTTCAAAATTAACGACTTCCTACAGGAGAAATCCTCTTAATTGCAGCCTTATTATCCGCAACTCCTATTTATCCAGTAACAGCTGCAGGGTCCGATACGTTTCCCCATAAGTCTGAGCGGAATGGCATTCTATCATCCGCACTTTCTTTCCCGTCTAGACAAATTCATCCTGTTATCTCCGCGGGGGTGAATCACTGCCCGGTAATTTTTTGTTATTTAAAAAAAGAATTTCATTCGTTGCCTTCTTATTCGTGGTAGAGAGAGTAACTGACGTCAGCTGCCCTCCGTGTAAAGATAAAATACAAGTAGTCCCCGACTTACGATATTTCGATCTTACGATGGCGATAGCGATACGACAAAATTGCCATCAACAACCTAACATCGTTCAATTGTGCAGACGACAGACAGAATCTTGGTGAGTACAGTACAATATGATACGTTACGATACGTTCAATGCATGTGTGATACGTAGCTTTAGCGATTTCATTTTAAGGTTACCACGATACGATACGTTCAATGCAGTTAATAGTTTTGAAAGCAGATAGGATTGTTTCCTGAAAAAACTTTCTATTAAATTGCAGTTCACATAGGTAGGCTAGGAATTTACCTTTTTATTTTTACTTTACATTTGACTGTGCAATACAGTATTGTAATTAATAAATACATACAGAATATAGTTTATACAATACGGTACTATAAATTGCTCTGTTTTGCTAAATTATCACCATTCTTTAAGACTCCTGGGTAGGCGAAGCCATCTCCGACTTACGATATTTTCGACTTACGATGATGGGGTCGTCGTAACGCATCTCCATCGTAAGTCGGGGACTACCTGTATGTAAAATTGTTGAATCGATATATTGCGGCCAATGATAGCGTCTCGTTAGGCTGCTGGCGCGCGGACGGGCGGACGAGGTGACACGAACCCATTACGTACGACGAATATAAAACGGCGGCGGTTCTCGCGCACAAAGCTTGTCGACGCGCGTGCCGCGAGCTTCAGAATTCGAACTCCACTCTTTACCTCCTTGAGTTTCCCCGTGCTGAACACGGGGCTGAGCACGCTCCGAATTCGCTTCCACTTTTCGTCCTCCACCACGGTGAGGGCGTCGTTGAGAGGCCCGTTGAGCTGAAAGTTCTGGGAACACAGCGGGCAGGCGGGCATGAAGGTTTGCCTAATGGATAAGGAGATGTCTCATAGTGTAAATGCTTACCCCGAGCTCTCAATGCTCTGATAGTGCGCTGTCTTTGAGTTGTACGCCTTTTGGCGTCATCTGGTCCAACACCAATAGAGACTAGGCTCTAAGAAAAGCTGTCTCGGGTGTGGACCAATCAACTTCAAGGACAGTGCATATCATTATCATCATCAGAGTTGTTTCTTCTTGTTTGCATTTTGGACTGCTTGTGTTGTGGTTATTGCAAACATGATGCCTTGTATAAAGGTGTCAGTTTTTGTACCAGTTGAAAGGGTAAAAACCTATTACTATGGATAGGGGTGCCGCGGTGGCGAGATGTTAACTACGTCGCCTGGTATACAGGAGGTAGTGGGTTTTATCCTGACCCTGACGCCTGCTGCTGTACATTTGGAGTTTGCACATCTCTCTCTCTCCCCAGTGGTCGCGTGGATTTTCTCTGGGTCCTCCGTTTTTTTTCCCTCCACATTTCGAAAGCCTGCGTTTAGATTATTTGGCTGCTTTAAATCTCCACCTGATAAGCCACTTTGTTGATCTATGTAGCTCAATGGGCCTTACGTTGGTAAAATAAAAATAGCTTCGTTTTAGATTTCCACGTGCCATCTCTTGGACTACTCCAGTCTCCCAGCGACCCGGTAAATATTATTGGAGAGATTAAGCCCTGTGCTTGTGTTCGCACATGAAAGTCGCAGCGAAAAGCAAAAAGGTACGGAACTTTCTGATACAAATGCCCACTCTGATCAATGTTTCTTCTGATATCAAAGCCCCCTTTCCCTCCCTCCCCCCCCCACTGGCTCAGCAGCTAGGGAATCTCTTTTCTTGGCTAGTAACACAACTGGAAGTAAGCTGATAGACAAGCAGACCATTCTTACAGCTACCAGATATCCCGGATTGGCTATGCAATCGAAGTGGATGGGGGATGACTGGGGGCGGAAAGGGGGGGAGGGCGGAGAGGGGGGGGGGCGGAGAGGGGTGGGCGGAGAAGGGGCTCCCAGCTGATCATGCTTCATAACTCATTTGTGAGATAAAGAGCTTTACAGCTCATAGGATTCCTCCAGTATGAACATTCAGATTCTGATTCCTGGTCGTTGAGCCTCCCAGAAATATTTCGATTTAAAGCTTGGGACGCTGTCTTTCCGGCAGCTCTGTTCTTCACCTGAGGACGGCTACTTGTGTTGTGGCCGAAACGTCGTGAGAATTTTATTTGATCATGTTTTATTTTTATTATTCTATTATTTCCCTTCTACGTGACTTTACCGAAATAATCAAGAATATGACCTCCCAGAAATGCCGTAGATTTTTTTTTGTTACGAATTCTCGGCGTGAATGTTGAGTCTGACCCTGCGATTGGTGAAGGTGCTGTAGCAGTCTTTGACCAGGATGGTCTTGTAGAGGCTTGGGTCAGCCACCATCAGGACCGGCGACCTGCCGTCGTAAATCCTACGGGAAAAAAAAAAACATTGAAATAAAGTGCTTAGCCAAGGATATTTTATTTTTATTTTTTACAGCTGTTCCCTTTTCCAACTGACAGCATTTTATTTCGCGTTAAGTAAAAGGCATGAATATTGACCGTTTCTTGTCGCATTAGTTTGACATGAGCAGGCGATTTGGGCCAGCCGCTGCACTTGTGTGCGCACGGCCGGGTCTGCATTGAACATGGGTACAGTAGAATATTGATTTGAAAAGCGTTTGAATGAAACCACACAGCGGGCCATATTTCATGCCAGCCACATGCCCCTCCGCACAAGACTCATGATACACACACAGCGGTGCGAACGGTGGATTTCCACTCTGAATTTGCGACAATGCGGTTCTGTTCTATCACAGCAAAGAAGCATGGTTGGCCTGAGGAGGGGCATGGGAACGATTTTGAAATTACGTGAGCAAAGCAATCACGCCTTGTAGCCGAGGAGGACCCTAATCAAGGCACAATGGAGTCCCATGAAGGTCATGAATTGAAGTTCGCAGAAAAAAAAGTCTTGCCCTCCCGTCCAAAGGTTGGAGGTGGCTGTTGCTGACCCGCTTCCTTCCTACCCCACCCAACACGTGTTCGCTTTGACAATAAACGTGCAGTAAAGAGTGCAAAGGTGGAGTCCCGCAGTTGCTTTGCTCATGGCACAGCTGGCAGAAGAGCCTCGACTAGTGGGAGCCCTGGAGAGCCCTGCTAGTCCAGAGGGTGTGTTTGGCCTACTCTTCCACGTTGGCCAGACGCTTTGGAGGAAGTGGGAGCACCCACACTTTACCCCACCACACGTGACCTGACAATCGATAACTAAGTGTGGTGTAACCCACATGCTGTACACTGCTCTGTGTGTGCGTACCGAGGCGGGGAGGTCTAAGAAGCTTGCACCGTCGATTCGACCGCCGTGCCGGGAGATCGAATCGAACTGGCGACCTCCGGATTGCAAGTCCAGTGCGATGAACTTTACACTACAGAGGCATTGCGAGATGTTAACTACTTCGCCTGGTATACAGGAGGTCGTGGTTTCAATCCCGACCCTAACGCCTGCTGCTGTATATTTAGAGTTTGCGTGTTCTCCCCGTGGTCGCGTGGATTTTTCTCCGGGTCCTCCGGGTTTTCCCCCCCTACATTTAGAATCAACGTGCGTTTCGAGTGATTGGCTGCGATAAATATTCACGTGATGATAAGCGACTCCGTTGAGCTAGTATTAGTGATAGCCAGGTTCCTTCTGAAAAGAGTGAAATAGCAGCTCAGTGGACCTCACCTGGTAAAAAAAATTACCCGTAAAAACAAAGTTTTTCACTATAAATCCTTTATATGCGTGGCATCGGTTTTATTTTATTATTCATTTCTGTTTTTCTTGAGTAAGAGTTTCATTTTTATCACATTGGTATTTTTAATTAAATATGAATTTTTTTCTTTCCTAAAAAGTGGAAAATTTTGGAAAAATTTTTCACGAAAATAAATTGTCACGCACAACGAGTCTGTGTGCAAAATGTCAGCTCGATTGGATCACGGGAAGTGGGTTAAAAAACGACCGAAAGATTTGCACGGTCGTAAGCGCGCAAGCAAGCAAGTTAACTTAATATAAAGGATTTAAAAAACTAAAGTTCACATTTTAATAGTTCTACAGTGCTTGTGGTTTGAGGTCTGTTTTGTAGATGCAGTGCAGTTTAAAGACCCACACACACGTACATGCACATCAGAGTGGAGTATTCTATACATGCGGGTCAGTGGCCGTGTGCTTTAAAAGTAAGAAAAAAACTCACCCCCAAATGTTCCCGAATTTCTCCCGGCACTCCATGTCAAATTTGAACCAACCCTGGCAGCGTGAAAAAAAATGAAACACACGCCATTGAAGTGTCAACGCTGCCGCGGTAATACGGCGAGAGGTAAACCGTGAAGACGATATGATTTACTACACTTACGTCAGAGGTCGCAACCGGGTACCTGATACCCGTACCCTACCCGATACCCGGCTACCTGTACCCGGCCGGGTACGGGTACCCGTTTGCGACCCTGGTGCGGCCAGGTACGGGTAGGCCGTGAGTCACTGGTGAGTAACTGTTTGTCACTCATTTCCCAACGTCTTGTCTCTTCTCACAATTAAAGTTTCTAGAATCAACCCACCCACGCCTGCAACATGGCTTCATCCCAGAGGTCGCAATCAGGTACCCGATACCCGTACCCTACCTGTACCCGGCCGGGTACAGGTAGGGTACGGGTACGGCCGGGTACGTGTACGGGTACCCGTTTGTGACCGTGGTGCGGCCGGGTACGGGCACGGGTAAGGAATCAAAACCCGTTTGCGACCTCTGACTTACGTCCATTTAAGACTGAAGCAGCATTTTTCATAATTCTGGCAAATCTCGACATGAAGGTGGCTGTTGTAATCACCGGCGTGCCGTCACGGCACTCGAATTACAAATGCCGTGGGTTTACTTCCCAATACAAACCGTTGTGCTGAAGTAGAAACTAATTTTTCGATTTAAAGCTTTCGTGTCTGCAGGGATTCATCTTCTTGGTTCTTTCGGTAAAGTCACGTAGAAGGGAAGTAATAAAATAATAAAAATAAAACATAAAAAAATAATTCTCACGACGTTTCGGCCACAGCGTCATTCAGACGCTGTCTCCCCGACAGACCTGGTCTTCACCTGAGGACGGCTGCTTGCGTTGTGGCCGAAACGTCGTGAGAATTATTTTATTATGTTTTATTTTTATTATTTTATTACTTCCCTAGAAACTAATTGGCACGTTTTGTTAAAGTGACAAACCTTACTAGTCTGCTTGGTTCTTTCGGTAAAGTCACGTAGAAGGTAGATAATTATTGCTGCTAATCCTACATCCTACATAATGCACGGGCATAATATGACTTTGAGACCCCCCCCCCCCTCCAACGCATTCCACAAGTAGTGACTATTCCCATATCTACATTTTCCATAAATATGCTAAATTCCTCTGTTGATATGCAAATTCCTTTGTCAAGGCGCTCTTCCCCCCCTAACCCAGCTTAAATATACGCTGCCAAGCTTGGCGGTGTTCATTCAGACGCTGTCTTTCCGACAGACCTGTTCTTCACCTGAGGACGGCTGCTTGCATTGTGGCCGAAACGTCGTGAGAATTGTATTATTTTCTTATCTTTTATTTTTATCATTTTATTACTTCCCTTCTACGTGATTTTACCGAAAGAACCAAGAAGATGAATCCCTGCAGCCACGAAAGCTTTAAATCGAAACCTTACTAATTTGTCTGTGTCGGGTTTAACGACACATTCATATTTACGCGATCTAACCCAAACAAAATACCTTTACGTATTATTTCTCGTTTCCATCTTACAATTACCTTTCTGTACTCAAGGAAGGTGCCAATGAAAGGATATGGTCTGGGCGTAGGTATATTGAGCCGTTTGAAGAAACTGTAGGGCCACATTGCATATCTGCAGATGAGAGAAAGAGAAAAACAACGACAACAGTTGAAACGAAGGCAGGGCTGTGGCAAAAAAAAATGACACCGCAAAACAACTTCACCAAGGACACCCGCATGGAATCGAATCACCCGGAATTCGCACACAGCCTAATCAGATCTCGACAGCAAAGCAGGTTCGAGCCTGGATTTGTTTAGTTTGCATATTCCCACCCTGCAATGATTTCCTGTAATTGTCGCCACTGCTCATGGGTCTTTGGCGGTGGCCATCCTTGCAACAAAGCTGCTTATGGCTCAATAATTGGCCTTACAGGCTGGAATAATAAAGTCTGAGTCAGAGGATTAAGCACTTGCATTGGCAACTAACGCGCATAAAACAAGTGTTGTAGGCTGCTGCGGTTGATAAGCTGTCAGGGTTTGCCCATGGGGCCACACCTCCTTCATAAATGGGCAATTAAAGATAAGCTCTAGGAGTGCGTGTGATTATGGCCATGCCACCCGCATAGTAAACTCAAGCAACGCACACGTATGTACGTTTAGCCAGCGCTGCGCTCGTTAATAACGCAACAAGAATTTAAAATATCTCCCCAAGAAACAAAACTAAAATCATGAGATCGTTCCGACCGGCATTGTCCGTCGCTGAGAAACAACGTGTGCGCCGTGCGCGTAACCAACCGTTGTGCTACATTTCGATTTAAAGCTTTCGTGACTGCAGGGATTCATCTTCTTGGTTCTTTCGGTAAAGTCACGTAGAAGGGAAATGATAAATAATAAAAATAAAACATAATAAAATAATTCTCACGACGTTTCGGCCACAACGCAAGCAGCCGTCCTCAGGTGAAGACCAGGTCTGTCGGGGAGACAGCGTCTGAATGACGCTGTGGCCGAAACGTCGTGAGAATTATTTTTTTATGTTTTATTTTTATTATTTTATTACTTCCCTTCTACGTGACTTTACCGAAAGAACCAAGAAGATGAATCCCTGCAGTCACGAAAGCTTTAAAGCAAAAGATACACACACAAACATCGATGATTGCGAAGCATCAATGTCCTCTCTTCTCTTTCCCGTAGTTCTCGTGCCGGGAAGCAAACACCGCCGTCGTCTCGTGTTCACCATCACTGCATTTCGGCTTCATGAACTATTGAGTTTCGATTTAAAGCTTTCGTGACTGCAGGGATTCATCTTCTTGGTTCTTTCGGTAAAGTCACGTAGAAGGGAAATAATAAAATAATAAAAACAAAATACAATAATTCTCACGACGTTTCGGCCACAACGCAAGCAGCCGTCCTCAGGTGAAGAACAGGTCTGTCGGAAAGACAGCGTCTGACGCTGTATGTCAGTCTTTCCGACAGACCTGTTTTTCACCTGAGGACGGCTGCTTGCGTTGTGGCCTGAAACGTCGTGAGAATTATTTTATTATGTTTTATTATTTTATTATTTCCCTTCTACGTGACTTTACCGAAAGAACCAAGAAGACGTTGTACTGCACTTCCCATGCGTCCGAACACCATCGCAAAGAAGACGCAAGACTCACGTGGCTGTGAGACCCAGCAGCGTAGCGAAGAGGACCCACGTTTCGGCGGAGAAGCCCCATAACCACGGGTCACCCATGGGCTCTTGTTTCTGCCTCCTTCACTTCACTACAGAAATCTCCCTACCTGGGGTGCACACAGTCAACGATGGATGGTGGTTAGTAGGTGAACAGGTCCCTCTGTGTGTGTGTGTGTACACGTGGGGAGCGGTAGTGTAGCGGTTAGCGCGCTGCGCTCCGGAACCCGGCGGCCGATTCCCGCTCACGGCCAACGCCAAGAGGCCGTCCATAAATGACGTCACGCGATTTTGTAGGATTTTTTATACCCCCCCCCCTCGTCACACGGCGTCACAAAAAGTCAGACCACCCCCCTCTCAAATATGACGTCACAAAGGTCTGCGCCCCCCCCCCCAAAATAAAACATGCTTCAAATCGCTTTAAATTATTGTCATTGTAGTGCGTAGTTAATGTCGCGCTGCACTCTGATGTTATAGAAGAAAACATTTATTAAAAAGTCACTTTAATTAAGTAGAACGTGTTGTCTATATTTATTTAAAGTTGCGCATTTTTACGTGACGTCACATTTCTCAAACCCCCCCCCCCCTCGTCACACATCGTCACAAATGTCTGACCCCCCCCCGCCCCTAGGTGCGTGACGTCATTTATGGACGGCCCCAAATGACGATTATCTGAACCTGTTCTGGGCCTCCCCTAGGTAGACTCAGCCTCAAATGGGTACCCGGTGCGGTGCGTAAACATCGCCACTGGGAAGACAAAGGCGGCCGGGAGTGGCGTTGGCCACCCAATTCCTCGTGTGCCGTGCCGGCCTTCATAGGTGCTGCTACTCGCTAACAGCACTTGTCCCAACATAATCAACGTTTTTGGGTTTAGATCGCGTGATTTATAAATGTGTCGTAACCCTCCACCACCCGACACGGCCAATCAGTAAAAAAGTGTCACGTTGACAAAAGACAAATAGTTCACTGCTTTAGCCCATCGGTGCGTTGAAGCGTGAAACCACAACATTTACAATTTGTCAACGTGACACTTTTTTACTGATTGGCCGTGTCGGGTGGTGGAGGGTTACGACACATTTATAAATAACGCGATCTAAACCCAAAAACGTTGATTATGAATAATATTGGTCGCGAAAGCCTACGTGTTAAACTTGTCCCAACAGTCTGTTAAGGCTATACGGGGGATCTTTGTCTGTGTGCCCGTGTACGTGTTGCACGTGCAGCAAGGCTGTATCCATGGAGTCAACATTGGGGTGGGGCAAATTTTACAGAGGGTCTGGGGGCCCCCCCCCCAAAAAAATGTTGGAATTTGAAAAATAATTTCCTGCCATTTCCTGCCTAAAATATTAAAAAAATTCACTGACACATGGGATGGACTTTTTATTTATTTTTTACAATAATGTCTACTAGTGTATTGTATTACATTGCTCTGTTTTTTTCTTTTTTACCTTTTCTTGGTTCATTGTATGTAATGGCAGAGATTATGGATTAATAAAGTACAACCATAACCACAATCACATGAACAGAAATCATTTTTATAGCAATATATTGGAGGGGGGGGGGGGCATTTTGAGCATATTTGAATATTAGGGGGGGGGGTGTGTCTACCCGTGTAATGATGTTTGTTATGTGCCTGTTTCTGCCCTGTCGTGTTCATGTTTGTCTGCAGTGCAGTGGTTATGTCTGTGTGTTGATGTTTGTGTGTGTGCAGTGGTTATGTCTGTGTGTTGATGTTTGTGTGTGTGCAGTGGTTATGCGTGTGTGTTGATGTGTGTGTGCAGTGGTTATGTCTGTGTGTTGATGTGTGTGTGTGTGTGCAGTGGTTATGTCTGTGTGTTGATGTGTGTGTGCAGTTGTTATGTCTGTGTGTTGATGTGTGTGTGTGCAGTGGTTATGCGTGTGTGTTGATGTGTGTGTGATGTGGTTATGTCTGTGTGTTGATGTGTGTGTGCAGTGGTTATGTCTGTGTGTTGATGTGTGTGTGTGTGCTGTAGTTATGTCTGTGTGTTGATGTGTGTGTGTGCTGTAGTTATGTCTGTGTGTTGATATGTGTGCAGTGGTTATGTCTGTGTGTTGATGTGTGTGTGTGTGCAGTGGTTATGTCTGTGTGTTGATGTGTGTGTGTGCAGTGCTGTAGTTATGTCTGTGTGTTGATGTGTGTGTGTGCTGTAGTTATGTCTGTGTGTTGATGTGTGTGTGTGCTGTGGTTATGCCTGTGTGTTGATGTGTGTGTGTGCTGTAGTTATGTCTGTGTGTTGATGTGTGTGTGTGATGTGGTTATGTCTGTGTGTTGATGTTTGTGTGTGCTGTGGTTATGTCTGTGTGTTGATGTGTGTGTGCTGTGGTTATGTCTGTGTGTTGATGTGTGTGTGTGCTGTGGTTATGTCTGTGTGCTGATGTGTGTGTGCTGTGTTTATGCCTGTGTGTTGATGTGTGTGTGTGTGCTGTGGTTATGTCTGTGTGTTGATGTGTGTGTGTGCAGTGCTGTAGTTATGTCTGTGTGTTGATGTGTGTGTGTGATGTGATTATGTCTGTGTGCTGATGTGTGTGTGCTGTGGTTATGCCTGTGTGTTGATGTGTGTGTGCAGTGGTTATGCCTGTGTGTTGATGTGTGTGTGCAGTGGTTATGCCTGTGTGTTGATGTGTGTGTGTGCAGTGCTGTGGTTGTCTGCGTGTTGATGCGTGTGTGTGCAGTGGTTATGCCTGTGTGTTGATGTGTGTCTTTGCAGTGCTGTGGTTATGTCTGTGTGTTGTTGAAATTATGTCTGTGTGTTGATGTGTGTGTGCAGTGCAGTGGTTATGCGTGTGTGTTGATGTGTGTGCAGTGGTTATGTATGTGTGTTGATGTGTGTGTGTGATGTGGTTATGCGTGTGTGTTGATGTGTGTGTGCAGTGCTGTAGTTATGTCTGTGTGTTGATGTGTGTGTGTGCAGTGGTTATGCCTGTGTGTTGATGTGTGTGTGTGTGCTGATGTTTGTGTGTGTTGATGTGTGTGTGGTAGTGTAGTGGTTAGCACTCTGCGCTACGAACCTGGCGACCCGGGTTCGATTGCCTGTTCATGGCTGACACCAGTAACGATTATCTGAACCGGCCCTGGGCCTCCCCTAGGTCGACTCAGCCTCAAATGAGTACCTGATGCGGTGTGTAAACATCGCCACTGGGGAGACAAAGGCGGCCGGGCGTGGTGCTGGCCACTCACCCCCTCGTGTGCCGTGCCGGTCTTCCATAGGTGCTCGCTAACAGCACTTGCCCCTACAGCCTGTTAAGGCTATACGGGAGATCTTTGTTTTTTTTAGTTATGCGTGTGTGTTGATGTTTAGGTACAGTGCAGTGGTTATGCGTGTGTGCTACTCTGTTTAATGTAGTTGTGCATACCTGCCAGCACCTTATCAGCGCCCTTATTACGGAACAATTGAGACCTTATTGATCACCGCGTCTCCCTTATAAATCCCAAGGTTAATCCTACAAAGTCCCCATCACAAGGCGAGAAACACAATCAAATGCGCGTGTTTGTTCGTCCGTGAAACCGTCGACTTCCCAGCACACACTAAGAACACGGGGTGAAGACATCGGGGTTGACAGCTGTTGATCTGACGCCCGCTTACCTGTGCCGATGTGCCGGTCGCTACGGACTTCCCTTGCGTGCAGAGGACTTATACTTCCTCCCCCTACTTAGGGGCCGTCCATAAATGACGTCACGCGATTTTGGACGATTTTTGACCCCCCCCCCCCCATTCGTCACAGGGCGTCACAAAAAGTCAGACGCCCCTCCCACCTCCTTTTAAATATGACGTCACAAAGCTCTGCTCCTCCCTCCCCTCCAAAACCATATTTCCATTTTGAAAATAAAACGTGCTTCAAATCGCCTTAAGCTATTGTCATTGTAGTGCGTGTTTAATGTGGCGATGCACTCTGATGTTGTAGGAGTGTTGCTATAACAATTAGTGTTGTTATAACAATTCTATATCTATTTAAAGTTGCGCATTTTGATGTGACGTCACATTTCTCAACCCCCCCCCCCCCTTTCGTTACACATCGTCACAAATGTCTGACCATCCCCCCCCCCCCCTAGGTGAGTGACGTCATTTATGGACGGCCCCTTACACCTTCCCCCACCACTGACCCTGCCTGCCGCGCGTTGTGCCTTGGGAACGGTGAACTATGAACCCAGACCCCCCCCCCGGTTACTTTAACCCCCCCACCCGCCTGCATAATTTTTTTTTGGAATTGCTGGGTGAACGTTGGCTCAACGTTGGGTGAACGTCGGTCCAGCGTTGGCGCCAAACGTTGGCTCGACGGTTCTCTACCACACGCTGCCAAGGTCGGCGTGTTTTTAATGGGACCATGCCTGCGCAGTTTGTAAGAAAAAAATATATATAATTGTCTTAGATGTGGAGAATATAAGTAGCAAAAAAAATGAGCAGATGAAAAATGTTTTACACAGTTTGTAAGAAAAAAATAGATATGTCTTAGATATGGAGAATATAAGTCGAAAAATAAATGAGCAGATGAATAATGTTTTACACAGTTTGTAAGAAAAAAATATATACGTCTTAGATGTGGAGAATATAAGTCAAAAAATAAATGAGCATATGAATAATGTTTTACACAGTTTGTAAGAAAAAAAATAGATATGACTTAGATGTGGAGAATATAAGTCAAAAAATAAATGAGCAGATGAATAATGTTTTACACAGTTTGTAAGAAAAAAATAGATATGTCTTAGATGTGGAGAAGATAAGTAAAATAAATTAGCAGATAAATAATGTTTTACACAGTTTGTAAGAAAAAAATGTATACGTCTTAGATATGGATAATATAAATAAAAAAATAAAGGAGCAGATGAATAATGTTTTACACAGTTTGTAAGAAAAAAAATAGATATGTCTTAAATGTGTAGAATATAAGTCAAAAAATAAATGAGCAGATGAATAATGTTTTACACAGTTTGTAAGAAAAAAAATAGATATGTCTTAGATGTGGAGAATATAAGTCAAAAAATAAGTGAGCAGATGAATAATGTTTTACACAGTTTGTAAGAAAAAAAAGAGATGTGTCTTGAATGTGGAGAATATAAGTCAAAAAATAAATGAGCAGATGAATAATGTTTTACACAGTTTGTAAGAAAAAAAATAGATATGTCTTAGATGTGTAGAATATAAGTCAAAAAATAAGTGAGCAGATGAATAATGTTTTACACAGTTTGTAAGAAAAAAAGAGATGTGTCTTGAATGTGGAGAATATAAGTCAAAAAATAAGTGAGCAGATGAATAATGTTTTACACAGTTTGTAAGAAAAAAAAGAGATGTGTCTTAAATGTGGAGAATATAAGTAAAAAAATAAATGAGCAGATGAATAATGTTTTACCCACCCCATCATCCACCCATCAATCAGCCACGTGGCCTTTTCTAACCGCATATTGTGAGCAGCATTGGTTCAACACGAGCAAAACCTCTGGACCGGTTTCGACATGAAGTGTCTCATCAGCAGTTCACAGGCGTGCTTTCATCAGTATTTGTTCAAGCAAACCCGATTCAAGCATTGAAGCGGCCGATCACATTTATGAAACCCCCCTCCCCCTCGTCACACATCGTCACAAATGTCTGACCCCCCCCCCTGACGTCATTTATGGACGGTCCCTTACGAAATGATCATCGAACGGCGAGTGTGCAGTTCAGTGTCGTTCATCGTGGGGAGTCGTCCTAAGTCCATTAAAGACGGCGTCTCGGTAAATTAAGTGGCTTTCATAACACATCTCATTACAGCTCCGAGGCTAACGTTCAGCGCCGTGATTGCAGTGTGTATTATTAATAACGACACCGTTATCTCACACCCTGATGACAATTATTCAGGTCCGCGGTTAACAATAACTGCTTACGGATCCATCCGTATCATTTAATTTTACAAAGCGGTGGTCGGTTTCATTAAATCATGACATTGAGAAAAAATAAAAGTGTTGCTCCATTTCGATTTAAAGCTTTCGTGACTGCAGGGATTCATCTTCTTGGTTCTTTCGGTAAAGTCACGTAGAAGGGAAATAATAAAATAATAAAAATAAAACATAATAAAATAATGGAGCAACATCTTCTTGGTTCTTTCGGAAAAGTCACGTAGAAGGGAAATAAAAAAATAATAAAAATAAAACAATAAAATATGTTTTATTTTTATTATTTTATAAAAATAATAAAATAAGTTGTATTTTTTATTATTTTATTATTTCCCTTCTACGTGACTTTACCGAAAGAACCAAGAAGATGTTGCTCCATTATCGTGTTTATAGTATTGTATGATGCAGCACTATATAGTGTGCGCTAAACACGGTTTTTATCGGGTTCGGGTTTAAAGCCTCGGTATTTTCCAAAACAATGTTAGTCTCTATACTCTTTGTTTTTTTCGGTAAAGTCACGTAGGTAAAAAAATAAAATAAATGAAAACCACTAAATTAAATCACGACGTTTCGGGCGCAACACAAGCGTCCGTCATCAGGTGGGAAAGCGTGGCCTACTGCTGATGCAGACTGATTAAAGGTTTGAAATGGGTGTAGCCCAAGGGTTATAAAGGAGTGGCTGGGTCTAGTGATGTTAAAGTGAGAAATTAGCATGTAACTGGGTACGGAAGTGGCTATGTTAATGTAAGAGATTAGCATGATGTTAAAGTGAGTCTCGCTTGGAGCGTGGATTATTGGCATAAGGCACTGGCACTAGAGTCATCATACGCTTATCCATAATAGTATTACTGCATACTAGCAGTATGTATAGGCTTGCAGTATTAATTAATGTACCCGATATAAATGCTTTCAAGCTATCAATTCCGGTTCAGTGATTCTGCACTTGCTCTATTACTATAGAACTACACTGCCTTAAACTTTATGAACGACTGGCTGTTTAAGGTTAGTGGTTTGTCATATTATCTGGCTGTATAGCAAATGAAAAAATACAATTACTTTTCTATGCAAGTAACTTTTTTTATGTGTTTTAATATGTATTTTAGGGCCCTTTTATAACATATGCTACAGGCCCCGTACTAGCTTAATCCGGCACTGTATACAGTATATTAAAAATAAGGCAACATGGATGAAGCGTGCCACAATAATTCGTTCTGGATTGTTCTGGCTGAAATTAAGTACTGTACTGAGTGTACAACAGTGTTACAGTATTGACTAAAGTGTTTTTTTTTTGGGGGGTGTGATTTGTGCTTCAAACCGACCCAGTATCACCAAATAATGGGGGGTTGGTTGGCGTTTTAACACTGCCCTCTGGCGTCCGAAACGACACCGTCCCACCAGAAGAGGAAGCCACTTGCCAAACCACAGCCGATCTAATCTCTCAATGCCCCCTAGTGAAGGCGATGGGGGAATGAGTAAAGGGCCGTCCATAAATGACGTCACGTGATTTTGGACGATTTTTGACCTCCCCCTCCCCCCTTCGTCACACGGCGTCACAAAAAGTCAGACTCCCCCCCTCAAATATGACGTCACAAAGCTTTGCCCCCCCCCCAAAAAAAACATGCTTCAAATCGCTTTAAACTATTGTCATTGTAGTGCGTATTTAATGTGGCGCTGCACTCTGATGTTGTAGGAGAAACATTTATTAAAAAGTCTATTTAGTTAAGTAGAACGTGTTGTCTATATTTATTTAAAGTTGCGCATTTTGATGTGACGTCACATTTCTCAAACCCCCCCCCCCCCCTCGTCACACATCGTCACAAATGTCTGACCCCCCCTCCACCCTAGGTGCGTGACGTCATTTATGGACGGACCCTAAGGCTATAAGGCGGATCTTTGTCGTTTGGGTGAGTGAGTGGGTCGGTCAATGAGTGGATGAGAGTAGGTGAGTGGGTGGGTGAGAGTGGATGGGTGAGTGAGTGGGTGTGGAGTACAATTCACCAATTCTCAGACAAAAAAAGCTAACGAACGGCTAAATCACTTCCAACTGAATCTCTAATAGTTATATTCTTCGTTCTTTCGGTAAAGTTACGTAGAAGGGAAATAAAAATAAAACAATAAAATTATCATGACGTTTCTATTGCAACACAAGCAATCATAATCAGGTGTGAAAACCACAGCAAGAACATTAAAAAAAAAACGTCGTGAGAATTTTATTGTTTGATTTTATTATTGTATTATTTCCCTTCTACGTGACTTTATCGAAAGAACCAAGAATATGAATCCCTGCAGTCACGAAAGCTTTAAATCGAAATCTCTAATTGTTGCCCATCATTGGCCGTATGAAATCATCATAAGCAGCGTTGCCAACTCCTTAAAGCAGATAGTCGCCAAACGAACCTCAACACGTCACTAATCAAAATAGCACATGTCGTCAAGCACTACACACAGCAAACTGATACAGGGCACTTAATACACAACCCAGCATTATGTCACTGGGCAATTTCCCAAGTACCGTTCAATATTACGCAGAAATATCGGATACAGCATGGTCAATGTCCACCACTTTAATGATCGACACTTGAATCCGCTTCTTACACCTTCTTTTCGCAGTGCACAATATCTCGTCGCTTTTCGCACATTTATCCAGAAATCCAACTAAAGATATCTACGTAACGATGTGCAGTATTAATAATAATAATAGTTCAATTTGTAACGCGCGCAAATTTGCAGACGTAGTGGCCGCAACTCAGAGGCGCGGAGCCAAGCTCAAAGTCGCTCGAAAGCACGTGGTTGTAGAGGTGAGTTTTTAAGTGTCTCTTGAAGGAGGCGATTGAGGTGATGCTG